TATGAATATAATATCTAATTATATTTATCGGTTCATAATATTTTATTATACTTAAATATAATTCTAATTATTTGTGTAATTAATACAATATTACAATTTGAATGACAAGAATTAATAGAATCAAAATGATTAATTGTAATCATACTGATTATTATTAACAAATACTATTAATTAATATAAAATTATAAAGTTTGCAATGTCTATTATTTATGTGTAAACTTATATAATCATCATATAATTATAATAAAATAAATACTATTTAATTATAATATTTAATTTATACTACTATATTATTTTCATATTATCTATTATTAAAAATAATTCTATAATAATTAATTATTAAATGAATAAATATGGGTAAATTATAATAAATTTAAATTTATCAAAATTAAATTTAAAATTTTGGGTACAACATTTGATTTTTTACTATGAAACATTATTGAGCGTAAAAATTATTAAATATGAGTGGTAAAATAAAAATATAATAGATCATTGTATGCATGCATATGATAATTTGTTACAATAAGAGAAACGGATCTCTTCCTATTACATGTATAAATTATCATTGTATTTATGAACATTTAATTCATGTCATTTGAGTTTTTATCACTTACATATTTAACATATCTTTTGTTATTTTGAAACTTATCTTTACTTTTGTTCATTTAATGATCAAATACGTGCTACTTTTGGTAATATTGGATCAGGCCAAATTTCTTGGGAAATTTATCAACCGGAAGAGATAGATTAATGTTGGATTTATATGGCCATTAAAGGCTTTATGAGAGTTTGTATATAAAATATTTTATAGCGGAACATAAATACAGTGCGAGTGTGGACCTTTGTGGAGCATATGGGACGAATGCTATTTGCCGATACTCGGACTTGGCTTAATGTTTTAGGTCAGTCAAGTTGGAAAACCTAAGATACTTGAGCATAGAGTAAACGAGTAAGGGTTTTTATGGGTTATCCCTTGATGATGTCGAAGTTGCTTGGATGAATGAGCTGAGGGACTACTATTGTGTGATAGTTAGGCTTTATAGACTGGGCCAAAGCCTCATCCCCGAATCATCACACGGCATGTATATATGATAGCCGTATTGAGAAAGTGAATCACCTTTCAAGACGCATATACATGTGCGAGAGATTACTTTTATTCACCATAGAGTTGTGGTTGCATTATGGTGTAGGTGACTATGAATTTGTCTCTAAGGGAGAACTGTAGTCCATAGATTGAGATTGTATCATCTGACCTTTTAGCTGACTTTAACAGCGTAATCATGAACCCTTGCAGTGGCCAATGGGTCATGGAACTGTTGGGTCAGTTTGAAAAAGCTAATATGAATCATAGTCAACAGTTGAAAGTGGAGTGCTGTAGCATATTCATAATTATTAGACTTATAAATATCTTATTCCCATCAAAATTATTTAGTTTTAATTATTTTGATGTCATATAATTATTAGATTGCTTATTTGAATTTTTATGATTCTCTGGATATTTTATTTTTACAATTTGGTTTTATAAAATAAAAGAAAATAAATTTTTAGTATTTTAAATAATCAAATAGAAATAAAAGATTATTTCTAAAAATCATTTAAATAATTTATTCACTAAAACTTATAGGAGCCAACTATGCATGGTTGGCTTTCTAAAAATTATTTAAATAATTTATTCACCTAGGGTGGCACGCCCCAACTATGCAGGGTTGGCTTTTTAATTTTTTGTCAAGCCATTATTGGCTTGTAAGACAAGATAATGTGTTTTAGAATGTTTTGTGATTTAAGGCATTTTGATTATTCAAAGATTGAATGAATAAGGAATGGATATTCATAAAATAAAAAAATATGAGATTATTTTTTATATTCAATATTTGATGGGATTTAATTTAAAAAATTACACGATAAGGTTCTAGTACCTTCCTTTGCATCTTAATGGTTGATATAAAGAATTGATGACTTGTATCTCTCACCCCACAAGTCTCTTACGATCAATGATCTAGATTTAATCTCATTAAGAATGGCTAACCCACAGGAAACCTTAGCCCATAGAAAATCTATAAATAAAAGATCTCTCGCCTATATTCTCTACACCTCTCTCATCTCTCTACTCTCTCTTTAGGGGACATGCCCCACTCTAGGAAATTCTCTCTCCTCAAGATCTTCTCTCCTCTCTCATAAGACATAAAAAGGGCTACACCCCACATAGAATAGAGAAGAAGGGGGCCACGACCCACCTAGGTTAAGTAGAAAGGGGGTCTGCACCACTCAAGGGTATTAAGGCATTGAGCCTTTGTTTTGTTTAAAGTTACATATGCTCTCAAGTTGTAGGGTTTAGCCTTATGCTTCTCCATTTTAAGCTTCTATGTAACTTAAGAGCATATGGAGAAGC